GGAGATGAAGGTGGTGTCGGCGTGCCGCAGCTGAGATCGGAGGCGAAGCAGCACAGAGAGAGGAGAAAAGGAGTGAGAAGAGGAAAAAGGCGTGATAAATTGAAATTAGGCTGTTAGAGACTTAGGGTTTTTAGAAAATAATTTTTTTTAAAAAAAAAAAACTCCTTTTTCAGGGGTTTCCGGTCCAGAACGGAAACCCAAAATCACCAATTTCTAAGGACCGAAGACCGACCCAGAATCATCCGGTTCGGTCCGGTCCCGGTCGATTTTACGGTCCAGGTCCAATTATGCACACTCTAAGCTACAAGGACATGATTGTCATGAATCATTTGCACAGGTATTGGTTTAGAACCATACTGGACCGGCCATTGAGAATACTTTAAGAGATTAAAAATTTTCATAAGTATACTTCTCATTATTGCTATCGGAACCTTTTTCCTTGATCATGAGTATTGTGAGTTTTCTTGTTTGAGTACTAGTCCGCTTTGATGATTTTCAAACGTCTGCCGTAACAGGGGATTATAACGGCATCACTCAGGCGGCTAGGTCCTCTTAGTAAGAGAAGCTACATTACAAGACTGGAAATGTCCCCCTATTAAAATTAGGGAAGGTTTCTTTGTTGTTTACAAGGCCTCGCGTAGAGCGAGACTGTAAAAATGCATGGTCGTGCTCGGACGAATTTTAGAAATCATCTATTTATTGATAGTCGGACTCAAGATCGAGAAACACTTCTAGACGTAATAAGGATGACAAAATAATCTTACCTTGTAGTTCATGAAGAGGCATTAAGCGACATAAGAAAAAGGTTATACACTAAAAGCACACTTGTCTGGAAGGACAAGTGGGAGATTGAAAGGAATAGTGTCCTTCAAACAAGTGTATTATTCTGATAGTGGGTTCAGAATTATTAGAAAGCTAATATATTAAGTAAGGTCAAGTGATCGGAATTCTTGGGTGGAGGTCGCTTCCGATCTATAATAGTAATGCATAATCAATATTACAGCTTAATCTTGACTGAACCCTTTGGGTCACACCCAAGCAATTAACGAACCCACATGACGAATTAATTCGGAAGGAATTAATGAGTCGCCCGAGTAATAAATATTTAGACGTCGGAAATTCGAGCATAGAGCGTCGAAACCGAGCGTTGGAAGTCGAGTCAAAAAATAATAAAAGACGAGATGGCAAAACGGTAATAAATCAACAATGACCAAAATACCTCTAACATCGGAACACCGAGTACTAGGGGGTTAGCAAAGCTAGTAGCCCGCACCAAGTGCGAGGCTTGCTAGCAAGCTGCAGCCAGCAGCTCGTACTTAGTGCGTGGCGTGCTGGCGCGCTGCAGCTAGCAGCCCACACTATGTGCGAGGCGTGCTAGCAGCAGCCCTCGGCATCAGCAACCCGTACGCGTGTGCGTAGGCTTGCTGGCCGAAAGGCTAGCTGCAGCAGCCTGCCTTGGTGCGGGGCTTGGTTGGGCCGAGAAGCAAGTAACGGCAGCATGTGGGAAGCCCACATGAGTGGGTTGGAGGGAGGTGCCAAGTGGCGCAAGGTAAGGGAGAGAGTGGGGAGAAAGTTTGGTCCCCCCCTCTCCAAGTGGTCTTCACCTACTCCCTCATATGTAGTTGAGTCTTGTTGATTTATTACTAGCTTGCTTAAATAATTTTATTTTGCTTTTAAAATAAAATGTGAAAATCCCACTATCCTACATTGGTGGGAGAGACAATCATACTCTTATCATTTCCTATAAATACCCAAGTAAGGGCATTGGAAATGATGTTTGAGTATGAGTTGTAAAGGGCATCACTAGTAAGTGAAAACCCTTGAACTCAAGAGTTGGAAAAGGTATCACATTTAGTGAAAGCTTTTTACTCAATTACTCGGGTTTTATTGGACGGGTCTTGCTAACCCCAAGACATTGGACCTTGTCGGTATTCGTTGGTGTGGGTGGATCAACGTTGGAGGCTTCGTGTTTTCGGAGCTAGCTTTCAAGTAAGAGCCCATTCGGTCAGGCGAAGCACGCTCCAAAAGGTAATCGTTTTATCTTAATCTTGTGATTAATTTAATTATGTTTATGGTTTTATTTATTGCAAGTGCAGTCTTGTTTTTGGGTTTGTTTCGACAGTGAGTCGGACTCACCAAAACCCAACAACTTAGAAGTGTTGACATGCATAGTAGATTTTAAATGATGGTTTGGAGTGTTGTTTCTCTTGATGCAAAATTCTGGCTCATGATTCTTACTTACTAGTGCATTTTTCACTTGAATGTGCAGATGGCTCCTCTCCGTCGAGCTAAAAGGGCAAGATGCTCAAATTATAGGGAGGTGGTTCCCTCTCCTCCCAACATCACGGAGACTTTTGGCATTGAGTTCACCAAAGAATAGAATTGGGACAAATTTGTCAAGCTTTCATCTCGGAAACTTTTGTCTACTAGATTTTATGATTCATCGTTAACTACTTCGTTGGGTATTGATGATGATGTGCGATTTTTGGCCCGAAATTTGGGGCTAGAAGAGTTCTTAAGCCTAAATGCTCCTACCTACACTTGGATAACTTTTGAATTCCTCTCTTCACTTGAGGTTCATGAGGAGGAGTTGGAAGGTGAAACTTCTTAAAGACTTACATTTCAAGTGTTCAACAATGATCATTCGGTGCCTCTTTCCTATTTCAATGAGGTCTTCAAATTTCCAAATCCAAGTGAGGGTGTTCCATATATTTATCCGGCATTTTATATATTGCAACATGATAACAAATACGGGGAGCGCAAGTGGTGGAGGCATATCTCGATTGAGGATTCATATCTCCCTTAATATTCAAAATCGGCCTCAATCATTCATGCGGCTTTGAGATATTTTAGCCTACGTCTTACTTATGCCTTTTTCTCCAAGGAGTCCCTTGGTGTTATCTCTTGAGAGGAGTTGAGTTGGTCGTGGCTAACAGATAAGCCATTTGAGGATGGGGTAGCGGTCATTGACTTTGCTTCGCATTTGCTTGATCGTTTCATCGATATCAGAGACGGTGTTTTCCTCTCCGGAAGTATCCAACTAGGGGGAATAATTACCATCTTGATTCTATCCCTCAACAAGAGGTATGAAGAAATGCTCGAGTCTCTTGAACTGGTCCATGATAAAAGAGAGAAAACCCCTTTCCACTTCCTTAGTATCTACGCCTTGATAAATCAAAGATTTTTGGAGCGCACTACTAAAGACAAGTTGTTCATTTGGAAAGTTACAAAGACAACGGATTGGTGCCCCATCCCTCACCCCGAGGCTATGGCTAGATGCTTAGACACCCCTCTTCCATGGAGACCTAACAAAAGGCCGATCGACCAAGCCCTCAAGAGAGCTCCTTTGCCAAATTTCCGCCATAATCCATATGTCCCTCTTGCTCCCTCTTCATCCCGAGGAGGTACATCTTCCCGGGGAGGTACATCTTTGATTCCCCCTTCTTCTTCTTCTTCTTCTTCTTCTTCTTCTTCTTCTTCTTCTTCTTCTTCTTCTTCTTCTTCTTCTTCTTCTTCTTCTTCTTCTTCTTCTTCTTCTTCTTCTATTTCTACTTATGACTTGTCTATTTTGCATGCAAATATCATTGTTCACCTTTTGAGAATGACTTTGTTTTAGGATATCATTACCATGCTAGGCAAGTTTATGATATGCATGTCATGAGGGGGGATATGAGCCTTATGTTAACTACCCTTACCTCCCGGTCCAACAAGGACCCGTGCCTCAATGAGATCCATTTGATGAGTCCATTGTCCCTAGGTTGTGCTATCCCTATTAGGAGGGGCCCAATGTACCTCCCCATGCCATTAAGGGGACCTCCCTGACCTCTTACGATTATAAGAGGCCGGGAGGATGCGATTTTGGTTATGATCTGGCTAACCCTAACCTTTTTCCCGATCCTGAGACTTTTGGCCGATGGGGGCTATCAGGTAAGCCGATTCTTGATGATTGGTCCCCCTTTTTGCTAGGAATAGAGCCGAGAGAGCAAGTAGGTTGAAGGGTAAGGGCCCTATGCATATGGATGATGTCGTTAGCCAAGTTTTTTCTGATGTTGGTGAGGGGGAGTACTCATTCTACCCCTTACCACAGTGCCGAGTGATGCCATTTTAGCTACCCTCCTTTTATGCTTGTTTGCTTTTCTTTTGTTTCTTTGCAAGCTTGTAGCTTGGTTTTAGCTTGGTTTTAGTTGGGGGGGGGGGGGTTGCTTATTTTAAGCTTGGGGGAATATTGTTATGTCTGCTGTGCTTCTTTTGTTTCCCCTTGCTTTTATGGTTCACTATGGCTTTGTTTTAAACTTGGTGTCTTTATGTGATGATGATTTATGATGATGTTTGTTTCTTAAGATAGTTTTCTGCTGATGATTCATGATGATGTTCTCTGTCTGATGATTTCTGATGATGATGATATGTTGTTAATCTAGTTCTTGACATGTGTTTTATGGTTGATTGTTTCCTGATTGGATGATATTTCTCTCTGCTCTATGATTCTCTTTCTCTTCTTATCTGATCATTTTTGCCACCTCTGATATTGTTTGAAGTTACTAACATTTTCCTTTTTGTATATAGCTTTCTTTTTTCTCTCTTGAAATGTTATCCTTGCTTTTGCTTTTGGAACATCCTGACGATTTGCGTTTCCTTTCATTTATACTCATTAGCATTGCTTGGAGTACATTAGTGGAAAAAAGCCTATTCGTAACAGGCAATAATAGGCCTTTCGTAACGGGCAGCGGCTGTTACGTATACCCCTGTTACGGATAAAAATATTATTTGTAACGGGCACTTGCCCGTTACAGATAAAAATATTATTCGTAACGGGCACTTGCCTGTTAGTGGTTATTTGTAACGGGCACCCAAATGCCCGTTACGGATAACGGGATTATTCATAACAGACATTAAAACGCCCGTTACAAATAAGGGGTTATTTGTATCGGGCATGACATTTGCCCGTTACAAATAATGTATGCCCAAATTAAAAAAATAAAAATAATCTAGCACATGCTGGATTGGACTTGCACAATCATTATCCATTAATTAGAGAAATTTATAAAATTATATTTTACACACATTATATACAATCCTACATTCTTCTTTAAAAAAAAAATGCTTACATTCTTTATTACAAGAATGTAAATGCCTACATTCTTCTTTCAAAAAAATAAAAATAAAATAAAAATAAATGTCTACATTCTTTATAACCTAATAAAAACTATAAAAATAGAGCAAAACAAATCTCAATAGTAATAATATACATCTTCCACCATTTTTCCATGTTGCAACTTTGATCTCAAATTCTGAGGCTGCCTTAGGAACCTGAAACACCCACAGCATACATTAAATAAGAACACTCAATTATTTAGAATCATATTACACAAAACAATGTAAAGTTAGTAGGACATATGTTTAGAAGGTTAAGATAATCATAAAATCTAGAAAGAAAAAAAAAAGACAAAAAAGAGTGATTAAAAAACAATGGTTATTTTGAAAATAAGATTTTAATATGACGATACAGAAAGACACATAATAATTTACTACAGCAGCATTTTATGACAAACAAGTTAATGATAAAAGAGATAATGAGGGCAAGAGTGGACTCAAATGATAGTAATTCCTTCTCTCTTACCAATAAAAAAAAAAGAAAAAGAAAAAAAAAACACAGCAAAAACTATAACACCAATTCACAAAACACCGCAAATTAAAAATAGAGAAGTTGTAGCTCGGCCATGATGTTTCTTTCGATAAATCAGCTCAAATGCAAAGACTTAACCAAATGACATTGAAACAATCTTTAGAGGTAATCTAAGCCTTGGAACATGGGCATGTAATTTCAATGATAAGGGACTGGGAAGGACTTCATATCAAGGATCACATATACAGACACTACCAATCGGGTGGGTATAAGTTAGCAATAATCTTATAATCACTCCACGTATCCAATGTACACACACTACTTTGTTTTAAAGACGCATTGGCATGGAACATTTTAATGAAAACTAAATGGGCTGATTAAATGTTTATGACCCAATCAGCTATGGTCTAAGATTTTGAGGTTATATATGATACTTCTCAACCACTTGAAATGTCTATGATCATCAGTTAACAATATATGCTACGCAGCCAAGGTTGTCTAAATATGCATCAGTGGATCTCAGTTCAGACCTTTAGATCTTTCTTGAGCATGTGAGTGAGTAACTGGTTGGGTATGCTATGCCCTAATCTTTTTGTTGACTAGATAATTTTCAGGTTGGGAAGGAAACCTTAATATAAAAAAGTATCTGTTTATTTACTGTGTTGAGGTCTTGCCTAAGCCTATGCACAAGGGCAAGAAAAGGTAGTCCAATCTCGGTAAGGCTTGATCTGAATCATAATTATTATGCTAGTAATGATCACAGTACATACCAATATACAAAGTGAATATAATGGCCTAAAGCCTAACATTCTCAATATTATAATGCTACCACACCATCTTAAAATACAATTTGGTATGTGATAGGAGGCAATCCTGAATCCTGATAGATCTTAGTGATAGAATGCATAAACCATGATAATTCAACGAGTGCAAAAAAAAGCACAAGGTTCAAGGAGTAATTTCGGCATATGTCAAGAGACCTAGATGATGATTCTACAATAGCTTTTTCCCAAAAAGCACAATCAGTCAACAATCAGTTAAACACTTAAACTTGTACCTAAACTATCAATTGGATTACAAGAAATCAAGTATTGATTAATTATATCAAAACCATTATAACCATTGAACAACATTTCAATTTTTCAAGACAAACATAAAGGATTATGAAAAAAAAATTTGATGCCCCAAATAAATATCACCAATTAAAAATCCCAACAATTAAGCTAGAAGATAGCAATAAAATAGGGAAGAAAAACAAAAAGGGACATTAAAAAGAAATGAAATAAGTAGGAAGATGAACTAACGGAGAAGTGTTCATAAAACACCGTAAATTGAATTCACCCCAATTTCCATTCACAATAATAAAACAACAAACTCAAATTTCCAGCATTACCACCAAACTGATAACAATAAAAACGCCATATTAACAACAAATCCACTTCCAAAAACCAAGGCAGCAGAATCTCTTAAGTAAAAACATGTTTGGTTTCATAAAATTATTATTTCAAATCCTTTAGAACGAGTTCCAATCTACTAATCAAAACATCAATACAATTTTCATCCTGTTGTTGTTCCAATTTTTTTTTTTTTTTTGAAAACTGTTGTTCCAATTAAAGATAATAACAATCGACAAAAAAAAAAAACGTAAACCAAATCATGAAACAAAGAACCTTCAAGATTCAGTAGTCTTGATGATGAAGTTCTGACGACTGATAGGGTTCATCACCACCGGAGGTCCAGTAGTACGAGGCCATGCCTGCATTCAGTAGTCGAATTTTATGCAATTTTTACTAGATCAAAATAAAATTAATTAATTCAATAAAAACTGGAAATAAATTTTGTGAATTTTTTGAGAAATTTTACCTCCGAAAATCTTCTGATCAGACATTATGTAATCGCAATCATAAGCAACGAAAAGGATCCAACGAGTGAGCCGACGATGTATTTACCCGCCATTGTTGATCTTCAAAGCTGGAAAAATGCGTCGAAAATTAGAGAAATTAAATTTTAGATTGATCTGAAAAAACTAAAGAAATTGAGAGGCGGTTTAGCTCAAAACAAGAGCCCGTTACTGGGCTTCTCACTTCTCATGAAGAACATAAAAAATAAAAAACAAAAAAACAATGCAATAGATTATCAACATAAAACGAAAAACCAAACAAAACCCAGAAAAATTGAACACGAATATCGAACACCAACAATTGAACAATCATTTTTACCATCTTCATTATCCCAATCAACATTAATCCAGTCCTCATAATTCATCAGATCAACTCAGATCTTCAAAATCCAACAAAATTTATCAAAAAAAAAAACTTCACAAAATCCCAAATGTAAGCTAAAAACATTATAGTTCAAAATGATAATTAAAAAATCATACCTCAGAGAAGAAGATAAGATTATTCTCATCGTTGTTTCAAATATCTAACATTATCAAGCAAAACTGAACAAAATTGGAGGGAGGAGATTGAGTGAGGAGAGAGAGCAAGACAGAGAGAGAAATGAAATGAGAGAGGAAGTGAAAGTTTGGCGGCTGTGTTGAAACCCTAATACTCTAATATAATGGGCTTACTCCTCTCAGAAAATTCCGCCCCATCACAAGTGTATTTGTATCGGGCAATATTTTGTCAGGTACGGTTAAAAAATTATTCGTAACGGACTTTAGTTGCCCGTTACAATTAAATGTATATTCGTAACGGGAATTTTTTTTCCCATTACAAATAGTTGTTATTTGTATCAGTCATACATATTGCCCGTTACGAATAGTCTTTTCGTAACGGATTTTATTATGCCCGTTACAAATGAGCCGTTACAAATGAAGTTTTTTCCACTAGTAGTACCCGGTGAGATCTTTCTTTTTCTTTTCTACCTTTTTCTTTCTTGATTGTATAGAATAGGTTTAGATTAGGATGAGTTGATTGTTCGAGGATGTTTGCCTTGTAACACCTAGCGTGTTTGGGGTCATTGGCGTTGTTGCCGAATGACCGCTTGTTTGACGATTAGGTTTTACTTGTGATTGCTCTCATTCTTATGCTTTTCTCTCTAAGTTTCTTTTTCTTTCTTTGATAAAATTATTAATAATAATAATAATAATAATAATAATAAATTTTATAGGCTATATTTTTCTTTTTGCTTTTTTAGCTCTTATCTTTGGACATTCTACAATTCGGGATTTTGCCTTTGAATGTGTGCTTTCCTATGTTTTTTCGGTGTGCATGCTTTGAGAGTATTCATGGTTGACTCTAGGATAGGGTATTCTAAGGTAGTGGTTTAGACCTTTTGGGGCCTTGAAGCCGGATTCTTTTGGTTTGTGGTATAACGGAGTTGCTTCCTTTGGTGGATTGACAACTTTAGTAAGTTTTTGCTACAACCGTGTGAGAATTCTTCTTTTTCAAGCCTTCATCATATTTTGAATGTGCGAAGTGGATCCTTGGCCTTTGCATACCTAATCTTGAATCTTGACTCATAATTCTCAAACATGAGACCGAACCAACTAGGAAGGACAAAGGCATCTTTTCAGGGTGGTAATTTTTCATTTCTAGGATATTCTTCTTTATTTTTAGTTCATTGGGTTTACATTTGCCTTCTTGCTAACCATTTGAGCCTTTCCCTTTCTTTTCAAGCCACATCTTTAGAATTTTGAGCCTTTTGTTTCTTTTTGTTCCATTTTTTGTTTTTGTGAAGCAAATGGTCATGTTTTTGGAGTTTGTGGTATATAAGGTTGGATATTGGTTCTATTTGTAAGCAAGATTGTCTTTTGTATATATTGTGAATAATGGAAAATGAATGATGGAAAAAGTCGTCCAAAGTTAAAGGAGGCAAGGACATAATAAATTCAATATTGGAAAAGCCGTCAAAAGTTATAATAAGCGAGGACATTTGCTTTGAATATATAAAAAAAAAGTGAAAATGAGATGATTCAAAAATATTTTGATGTGATTCTTTTTCCCTTTTTCAAGCATTGAGGACAATGCATCCTTTAAGCTTGGGGGAGAAGCGTTTACGCTTTTTGTATATATGATTGTGGATATAGCTTTGAATAAGCTTGGGGGTGTTAGTATTTTTTTGTTTGGTGACTTCTTGGTTTTGGTGTCGAGGTTTGGCCAATCTTTGCTTCATAACCTAGGTGTACCACCAAATTCTAAATTTTTTGCCTACCCCTAACCTTTTGCCCTTACATTACAACCTTTGGGAAAGTCCTTTCGACCTAGTGGTTGAGTCACATACCGAGGGAGGGCATTGTGAGTTAAAGCCTAAGGAGAACGGATGCAAGGTCAAGATGTCGAGAACCCTCAAACTTTATTCTTTCCCGGTTCCTTTAAGGAACCATAGAGACACTTACTAAGGGAAGATTTGAAGCCATTAGGAGAACGCGGTTAGATTGGTTGGGATGAAAGTGGATTGCGCATTATTAGTTCTCTACACTTAGCATACCTTATGTTTCAGTCAACTGTGGATATCTTAGAGCATTCATACCACTATCATATAGAAAAGTGTTCATTCACTTGCATTTGATCGTTTGCGAAAATCCTTATCAAGAGCTATTTGTTTGAAAATTTTGATTTACCTTCTTTTCTTTTAATGTTTTTACCTCGTTTTATTTTAAAGAGTTATGGGTTAAGCTCTTAGGTAACCTTTATGAGACCTCACTCGTCCTCATAGGCGACTTTGGGGTTTAAAGGGCTTGTTGTAGCTAAAAACAACCGTGATTCTTACGTTAGTGAGTCTTAGTGTATATTCCCATCTCATGTCTTTCTTTTTCTTTTTTTTTAAATAAGTCTTTCATCCTTATTTTTTCTTGCTTTGTTTTGCTCGAGAACGAGCAAAAGTTTAGCTTGGGGGAATTTGATGAGTGTCATTTATGGAAATCATTTGATTCTCTTTAGGGTGAAATTCATGCTATTTTATAGCTCTTTTCTTTAGTTTTTCCTTAATTTTGCTCTTTATTTCTTTAGTTTGCTCTTTACTTAGTTAAATTTCCATTTTCATGAATTTCTTGGTTTTTCTTATGTTTTTCTCATTTATTTGTTTATTTTCTTTAATTTTTCAGGTTAAGGTCATTATCCAAAGATTCCCCAAACCCCTTCCCAAGTTTGGCATTAATTAAGATGCCTAGTGTTCTCCATTTGAAGCTCAAGCATGGATAAGTGCAAGTTCCATTAGACCTTAGGACATGCATTCAAGCTGTAAGGGCCTAATTCTCGTGTTGAACCCACCATTGATGTGATTTTGGGTCTGTCATGTCCCGTGTTTATCAAGAGCATTGAGTGGAGCGCATGAGCAGCATCAAAATGATGGTGAAGGGGGCTGCCCTGTTCCCAGGAGCGGGCGCTCGCGACTATGGCGAGGCCGCGCCTCTCTCGGGAACGGACGCGCCTCTCTAGGTCCCTGTTCCGTACCCAGTTTTGCGCGGCCGTGCTCCCCCTTGTATTTGGCCGCGCCTGTTCGAGTCTATTTTGGACGATCTAACTAATTTCTCATTGTTAGTTTTACTATATATAAACTTTCCTTTTATTTTTAGAGAGAGTTCTTTTTAGAATTAGAATAGAATTCGTTTAGATTGGTAGAGAGAGAAACTCTAGTTTGTAGAGAGAGAAGTTCTTGATTGATAATTGAAGATTGATGATTCTAAGAATTTTCTCCATTGATTTGAAGCAAGTTTGTAAGGATTTCTTTTACTTTAATGCAATCTTTAGCTTTTGATTTCAATTACTTTGTTAATTGTTCAAGTTGATCGATTTTTGATTGATTTTAGCTTGATTAATATGATGATGATGAATTTGTTGTTTAGCTTAGTTTTGATCTTGATTTCCATGGATTGTGAGTATTTTTCTTGCTAGGGGAATGGTGAAGCATATATGAGTAATGGATTGATGGTAATTGGGGGAAATTGATTTTCCCTCGCAACACTCGATTTAGTCAATTCCATTCCCAATTAGTTGTATCCATTGCATGTATATGTAGATCCTAAACCCTAGTGTTTGATAGATTTGAATTCATTTTGATTGTTTGTTTGATTTAGAATATACACACATTACTTCATTACTTCGAAATAGCTTAGCTTTAGCATTAGCTTTCACCTCCCATTCCTAGTGGTTCGACCCTCAACTTACTCCTGTGCTAGTTATAAGGGTGTGTTGAGTGATTACAAATTTTGTTTGGCTTAGGGAAGATTAGTCCAACGACCTAGTCTCAACCCTTGTTCAGCATAATAATAATAATAAAAGGTATTTACAGCGTCCTGTACTATAGTAGAAGTTATGATCAAATATAAAGTTACAGAACTCCCCCCATATGTTCATACTCAAGGTATATACGTTCCAAGAGTTTTGGTGCGTAATCTCTTTCACTTTAGGTTATCTACAGATTATTAAACTTGGTAATGACTCTCAAACAATAATAATCCCATCAACAATCATTATATAATCAATCAAATACACCAATTTAATTCTTGAATAATTAGTGACCACATAATATTTGATGTTGAATCCTTTTTAATTCCATCTCGGTGCCAATGACACCTTAAACGGATAAAGCGCCACAAATCCTATCCCTCGGTGTTAAAAACACCTTAAGTGCACTAAGGCACCAACATACAATTTATTCCTCGTGTACATAAACACTTATATAGCTCTTTCCTCATGCTTATAGAATCAATAAAAATTATATAAACCATAATAAAATTCCTTTTCAATATTACAAACTAAATTAAACATTTAATTTAATAAAACATGCTCTCTAACATGCCACTGACGAGGGGAAAAGTAGGTCGTTATCTAATCCTCCCTTGGTCAAACTAAATTTATAAACACTTAACAAACCTAAATACGAGTATAAAGGAAAGTCAAGGGTCGAACCCAAAGGAACGGTAATGTTCAAGCACTTTCAATTATGCGCCTTAGCTATGTCAAAATCGAAGGTAAGATGTAACACTGACAACTAACAAAACAAGCAGTGAAATAAATAAAGCACTAGGAACGGGGATCAACAAGTAATCATGTCAATAGCAACAACTTAGGAAGATCATGCCAATCAAAGGCTGTGAAGACTAATGATAAGAGCTATCAATTGGAGTCAAGAGCTATCTCCTAATTGTTAAGTTATCTCCTAATTGCGTGTCATTAGCAATTACAATGCAATCTAGCATAATTCTCAAGGCCTAATCGAATTACACACATGCAAACCTTCACTAATCACTTTAATCTCAAAAATCAATCAACACAATTCCCAAATTAATCACAATTAATCAATCATACAAGTTTCACCCAATTCCTATCCAACAACTACTCAAATAACATCATCTATCAACAATCAACTAAAGAAACCAAGAGTCAACAATATATCAAGAACAACTACACTAATCTAGCATCAAAGATCAAAATCAAATCAAACAAACATGAAATTAAACAAATCAATAAGGTGTGATAGAGTTAACAATGCTCATTGATAATAGAGAAGATCTTTAACACAATTGTCACCCTTGTATCTTCAATCTCTCGATCACCATTAAAATCCCTCACTTTCTCTCTCTAAAACTACTCCTAATCTAGAGAGAGACTCCTAAACTAACCTAATCC